TTATATATACTCATATTTCACACTGTATATATATTTATATCTTCTTGGCAGCTTTATACTTGAAAAGGTGCTGAACAATTTTCCTTCTTGCATAGAAAGAAACTCAACTGTCCCTCCTGGAAATAGACCTAATGTGACTCTTTCCTTTCATTGATGGCGTCCTCGTATTTCTCTCATTGTTCATGTCAGGCACACTGATGGTGATCTCCCTCCTGTCCATTGTGTACGGAGCCCTGCGCTGCAACATCCTGGCCATTAAGATCAAATATGACGACTATGAAGTGGACATCCGGCCGATGGCGTATCTGTGCATCTTCCTGTGGAGGAGCTTCGAGATCGCCACCCGTGTGGTGGTGCTGGTGCTGTTCAGCTCCGTGCTGCAGCTCTGGGTCCTGCCTGTGGTTCTGCTGAATTTCCTTGTTTTCTTCCTCTACCCCTGGATCCTGTTCTGGCAGAGTCACTCGCCGTTCCCAGAGAATATAGAAAAGACTCTGACCAGGGTGGGAACCACCATCGTGCTTTGCTTGCTCACCTTCCTCTACGCCGGCATCAACATGTTCTGCTGGTCGGCCGTGCAGGTGAAACTCAACGACCCAGACCTCATCAATAAGTCCCAGAACTGGTATCGCATGGCCGTGTACTACATGCTGCGCTTTGTGGAGAACGCCTCCCTGCTTCTGCTGTGGTACATCTACAAAACAGACTTCTACAAGTTCATCTGTGCGCCGCTGCTGGTGCTGCAGCTGCTGGTCGCCTACGCCATAGCCATCTTCTTCATGCTGGTCTTCTACCAGTTCTGTCATCCGTGTCGGAGGCTCTTCTCCTCCAACATGACCCAGGGCCTGTGGGACTGCTCCTCGCTTCTGTGTCTCATGTGCAACTCCACTTCACCGCAGAACAGGCCGATGGGAAAGGCCGTCTTGGAGCCGCCGAGAACCTCCACATGCAAAGAGCCGGCCGATGATGGAGCCCATGACTCAGCCAGTGAGCCCACAGACGACGCCCCTAACGACACGACGTACGACATGCTCGACGACACAGTCTATGACATTCCCAATGAAATGGGCAGTAATGTAGGAGTCGGAATCAACGGCAACCTCAGCCACAGTGTCACCTGCAACGCTTAGAGCATCCCAATGTGTACGGTGCCATTCAGAGGATCCACTCTGACAGTTATCATACCCTCAGTTACCTTTTAAGTGCCACATGGATCCGCCTGTGAGTTGAGTTTACATTTTAAATCCTTCAAACTTAATCTCACACATCCCAACTGTGTTTTCTACCATAGTCTGACACTTCTACATGAAGCAAATACGTCCTTAACTTGAGATCTGTCCTGGCTGCAAACATGCTTCGTGTTAACCTGTATAAAAGCACTACAGAAGTGGTGCTCACTACTCATCACCCAACATCCTGACCCGTCATCCTGCAAATAAAAACCCATGGATGCCATTATTTTTTGTAAATTTGGAAACTATATGTGCTGCATTACTGATCACAAGGAGCCATACATTTGAATTGATTGTATTTAGTCTTTGGCATGGAGGTGTGCATGTGTGGAGCCTCTGATGAGGTGTCTCCAGGGGGGAGAGGGTCTGTTTGATCAGTTGTATTTCTCTGGACCTCCTGCTAGTCTATGCGGCTGCAAGCAATCAGCTTTTTTACTCCTTGATAAGAGCTTTATCAGAAACACATGCTGCTTCCTCTGTATTTGTGCTTGTCACTGAGACGAGAACCTCCACACATTGTCGTTAAAGAGCCTGTGTAATCACCAAACACGTTACTGTGAACGCACGCACATCTCTGAGTATAATGTTTTTTGCACGTTTACAATAAAAATGATTTAAGTGGCTTAGATTCAACCGCTGAGCAGCAAATGCTGTTGTGATGTGAAATGCTTGTTAAAATGTATTTGCATTTTTTTTTAATTCATGCTATAGTCGCATCTATCGTCAGTTACACATTTACAGTGCACAAATCTGTAACAAAATATATTTTCTTTTTTTCCACCTTTATGTATAATTGTGTGTGTGAGAGAATGTCAGTGTTGTTTGACTTGGCACGCCTTTTTTCAATGTATCTGCAGAGGAACGACGACCTCGCCAATCACACGAATGCTCCTGGTATTTGTACAAATAAGAACAAGCCAAAAAGATAAATAACTTGAGTGACACATGAAATATTCTCATACATTAACAAGACACAAGGCATTTTAAAAGATGATAC